AATAATCATTTTTTTGCTTTTGAGTTTAAAATTAATTATATTCTATTTATTTAAAATGTGTCAATTTCTTATATTTAGTTGGTGAGAGGTTTTTTTCCTTCAAATTTCAATTTTTAGATTATTGAAAATTTAAATTTCTCTCATGCAGAAAGTATATGAACAGATACTACAATGTAATAGAGTCAGTAACATTCAAAAAAAAAAAAATTCTCTCATGCTTTAAAAATTTCAAATTCCTTATTTTTTAAATACTACTGACTCTATTACATTGTAGTATCTGTTCAAACATATTTTTTAAAAATTTCAAATTCTTTATAACATTTGTAAAATATTTATTGAGCAAACAGTAAAATATAAAGTATTGTTTTATTCATGAAAGTCATTTAAATTTCATTTTTGGTGTATTTATTTCGACACTGTAATGGAAGGTAAAGTAGACAATGAAGGACATGGCAGATCTAATCCCAAATAAGTCAAACCGTATCCAACCGTCTTTCACTGACAAAGCCAAACAATGCACAAAATCATGACACTTCACTCCAAATTACCAAACTACCCTTCTGCCGAATTTCCCGAAGTACCCCCACCTCCTTCCTCACCATGCTTTTCACCGCCTCTCCTCCCTTCACCCTCTCACCTGAATCCTCAATGGAAGACTCTCAGTCCCACTCCCACTCTCAGTCTCACGCGCAACACCACTCCGGTGAAGACCTCGATGATCTCCAGAGCAGTCGTGTGATTCACGCCGGTGATGGAAGCTCCGATGCCGCCGACGCCGTGTTCTCTCGCAGCGTCGCCGGATCCAACTGCGGCGCAAGGTACAAGCTCATGTCTCCGGCGAAGCTCCCGATCGCGAGGTCCGCCGGTATTACCATCCCCCCTGGCTTGAGTCCGACTTCGTTCCTCGAATCTCCTGTTCTTCTCTCTAACATCAAAGTTAGTTTCTCTCTCCCCTTGTCTTTACTCGAGACTGGAACTTATTCCTTTTCTCTACTTTCTCTATTGATTTTTAGTATTTTGTAGCTTCAGATTCGGATTCGGTGCGTAGTTGCCTGTCCTTTGGTTGATAAGAGAATGAAAAATGGATTAATAAAATGAACATTTACATAATTTTAATCATTTTCTTGCTTTGCTTTCTAGCTTTAATTAGTTTATCTGTTGCTAGGAAGGTGTACAGTTGTGCTGTCGTGAACTGGAGTGAACTATACACTTCTGAGTTCTGACTATCTTATACATTAATTAAATCACTCAATAGTGGTTTGTTGCATCAGAATTCAGAAGACTCGCAGTGGAGAATTTGAGGAATTCCTTTATGCCATTGCGACTTTGTTAAAGTAATTTGAATTATTGATTGGATGTTTGGTTCTTTTCATTTCGTGCAATTTGTTCCCTTGATTCCTTTTCCTATATGAGTGCTAATTTTTTTTTTTCCTTCTCTTTTTGAGAATACATAATACATAATTTTATATTATACATGTGGAGAATTGCAATCCTCTTTGTACAATTCCAGACCGTTGGACCTCTGATGCTCACACTGGGGCTATATTTTATTGGATTTGTTACAGAAGTCTGCCTCTAGATTTTCCTAAAAAGAGATTCTTTTTCCCTCTCGACTAGAAGCTGACTAGGCTCCAATGTTGTTTCTTCGCATAATGGATTTTTCCCTTTCCTAAAGGTGGCTGAGCTTTTTTATCGTGTTGTTCCATGGGGAAATGGACGTTGGTGACGTATATGTTCTGATTGAACAATGGCATCGTGATAGTCTTTATTTATTCCATCTTTCTCATTAGTACACGCAGAATTCTGATATTTGTGGGATTTTAGTGAGATTGCTTAGATGTAGTCAAATACGATGGTCATTGAAAGAATGATCACATTTGAGGCTGTCCTAGCTTCCCTTCTTTGTTAGACAATCTCCTTTTCTGCCCTAGGCTCCAGTAGAAGAAAAAATAAGTAGAAACACACTGACACGGAACTCTGATTCTCTGAAGGAAGAAAATTTCTTTATGGTTTCTTCTTCAGAGGGAAGGAAGAGTGAAGGCAAAAGGGGTAGGGGTCCCGGGAAGGCAAAATCTACATGATATAACTTTGAAATTTTGTGAGCTAGCTGCTAGTGAGAATATGTTTTTGATCACCAATTTTCTTAATTGTTTTTGTATTCTTGCAGGCAGAGCCTTCTCCCACCACAGGATCTTTCTCAAATCTTCATTTGATGCAAGGCTCTGGTGGCTCTGCTGCATTTTCATTTCCGGATAGCAGAGCTTTTAGTGAAAGAAAGTCGAGCAACTTTGAGTTTAGGTTTCCCATTGGATCAAGTTCTACATCTGCATCAACATCAATAGAACATATGGTAATATCTAATCACTATGTGAAAGAATCTCCAAGAGGCTCAATATTTTTTTGAATTAGTTAAGAAGATGAAAAAGCAAAAATAAGATCACCATTGACTGTTTTCATTTTTTTGTCCCTTAAAGAAGTTACATTGGCTTTTGTTTACTCGCAGTATATTTGTTCATATTATTCTCCCCTATGCACATATAATTTTGTGCATTGAGAACCTTCAACAGGAATTCGCGCATTGCAATTCATGTCAAGTCATGCAATTAGCATCTTTTATTTATTTATTTATTTTAAAAAAACTGAATTTGATTGTTGATGCCCACCGTAATGCTCTGCATTGTAATGAAGACATCTGCAGGCTTGAACCAGCAGCAAAGTGAAACTCAGAGACAAGTTCAAAATCAATTCGTTTCTCAGTCATTGGTCCCTTCATCTTTGGTCGAATCTTCAATTCCTACATCAAATGGATTGAACTTATCTTCAGCTGTTGCGCTGCATACTTCGTCTGTCGGTACTGATGCAATTGAGTCTGATGGCCTAAATCAGAGGGGGAAAGCAGTGAATGCTGATCAGTCTTCTGTCACAGCTGAAAGATCATCAGATGATGAGTATAACTGGCGAAAGTATGGCCAGAAACTTGTAAAAGGAAGTGAATTTCCACGGAGCTATTACAAGTGTACGTATCCAAATTGTGAAGTGAAAAAGATATTTGAACGCTCTCCTGATGGAAAAATAACAGAGATTGTATACAAGGGTTCACATGATCATCCTAAACCCCAACCCAGTCGTAGATTTACTCCTGGTGCAATGATGCCCATCCAAGAAGATAAATTTGAGAAAGAATCATTTTTCAATGGTCAAGAAGGTAATCTATTTTGAGCTAATTTACATTTCCTACACTGATTTTTAGACAATGATATAATTTTTCTCATCATGTCTTTTCTTGAAGATAAGTTCAACTCCATTGCCCAGACTGGTCGTCCAGAACCAAGTGGGATCCCCATTCTTTCACCACAACGAGTAGATGATGATAGCCATGAAGGTGCAACTTTACTACTGCAGGGTACTAATGATGACACTGATGAGGATGATCCATTTTCAAAAAGAAGGTAAGCAATAAGCCTGTTATATAGGCTTAATTTTTATTTTCATGGCAGTATCTAATGAGTTACCTGAAAACCTAAATCAGGAAGATGGACGGCTGTGTTGATATAACACCAGTGGTTAAGCCTATCCGTGAACCACGTGTTGTTGTTCAAACTGTGAGTGAGGTTGATATATTGGATGATGGCTATCGGTGGCGTAAATATGGACAAAAAGTTGTCAGGGGGAATCCAAATCCCAGGTAAGGCTACATATTTTGATGTTTTGGTGGTTTAACGTCTTGTACACCTATACTGCTGCCTCCTTTGGTAGTGTTATCTCTGGATTTGAGGTTTAGGAAACAAGGGGAGGCTTGTCCTCAATTTTTTTGACATTGCTGGTTTACTTTTTCAAATTTTATGAATTCATAATAATAGTTGCTGCATATTAGAAAAACTAGTGGTGGTAGCAGGGATTATTCCAGTGTTTTTTTTATAATAATTCTTGACAGAATGGTGGTAACTTCTAAATTCTAATCCATACCTAGTTCTTCTTGCTGATTTTACAAGTTTGCTATACTGAGTGTTGGCTTGTTCTTACATAATGCAGGAGCTATTACAAGTGCACTAATGCTGGATGCCCAGTCAGAAAACATGTTGAAAGGGCTTCCCATGATCCCAAAGCTGTTATAACCACATATGAGGGAAAGCACAATCATGACTTACCAGCAGCAAGGACTAGCAGTCATGAAATGGCAAGCACAGCACCCGAAAGTGGAATATCCAGAGTCAGGCCAGAAGAGAGTGACGTGATTAGCCTTGATCTAGGGGTTGGTATTGGCTATGGCACTGAGAACAGGACCAATGACCAGCTTCATTCACTGGCTCCAGAAACTGTCCCAACTCAAGTTCTAGCTTCTGGTGGTGGAATGATGGCAGTTCAAGCACCAGCAATTGCCCGCTATGGTATTGTAAACGGTGGTATCAACCGATTTGGGTCTAGGGAAAATCATGTTCAAGCACCTGGCTTTGAGACTCTACCTTTACAATCGTCCAACCAATGCCCTCAAACCCTTGGACGAATACTTATGGGCCCATAACTGTCTTGCAAACCAAGCTATAGGCGCAGTAACAAAAAGCCACCAATGTCTTGATGGATGACTGGCTATATCTCTAGTCTAGCCTACATATTTTAAGAACTAATGTTGTTGTATAATACCCTGTCTTTGTTCCTTCGCAACCACTTTTCTCTGTAATTAATTGGCTGTCCTAGTTCCTATAGGAGAAACATCTGAAATGTAACATAATATGGAACCCGAGCGATTGTTAGCCCCAGTGTCTTCTGTGCAAGTCATGGCAATTTTTGTCTCTTCTGTACGTGTGAGATGAGAATTTTTATGTGATGCAAATAGCTTGGAGTCCTTGGAATCTGTAGCCCCCTTAGCATGGAACTTTTTTGTCATCTCTTTAAACTTTTATCCTATCTTTGCTGTATAGATAATAAATGCAAGTATTATCCTTTAGACATTGCTATTCTTTATCGCTCAAGGACGTAAGGTGTATAATTTATGTGTTTTTATTTTTCTGTAGAGGATTTTTTTTTTTTTTTAAATTACATGAACACAATTATAGGTTCTAATGGAATTTGGGAAGAGGTTGCTAGGGAAAGTTATTTGCATTAATGACTTTATAATCCTTTATTATATTCATTGACCATTCGAGAACTTTGTGGTATACTTTTTGGGCACTTATTGTTTTGATAAATTTATTTGTATTGTATTAGCCCAACAGCAGTTTTGTAGTTTTGTGTATCAGCTAAGTATCAATGTAGCTTTCCAGGCTTCTTGAGAAAGGCCAAGCAACTCATAATTGGGTCTTTACTCTTTATGCATGCATACAAAGTATATAAATTCATCTTTTGGGTCTTTTAATGCATGCATACAAAGTATATAATAAATTCACTTTTTGTCCATTGTCTTCAACTGTTGCAGGGAAAACTGAAAACGTGGTGGAATGTACTCCCCAAAAACCAACCCAGCCAGTTGTGTTTGACCCTCAAGGGCTTCTGCATATATACAGGTTGGGTAGAGTCTCTGAGAAGTAAAGATGCAAACTTTGATGCAATTGTGAGTTTCAGAGGTATGTTTTGACTTCTAATTGTGAGTTTCAGAGGTTCTGAAAATGGTTTTCTAGCTGATTTGCCATTGCCAGAACGAACATGAAAAGCTGAGGTTCATAGAAAGCATGGCACAGATGCATTCTATGTGGATATCAGTGAAGAAAAATATCAACTGTAAATGCAGGCTGGCAGATGTAATTTGCCACCTACCAAAACCAGCTAATTGCAAAGGCAGCCACTTTCACAACTCAGAAACTGGGCTCACTCCTCAAATCCTGTGTGCCAAGCAATATCTTATATCTACTATGCAGAAGCAAAAACGGTTTCATGGTAACTATCCTATACACCTCTGCCCTTGTTTTCAAGTAATTTGTACACTAGTTGCCTAGAGTGATAGGAAACTAAACGCGTTTTGTGCCACAGAACTGGAGGCTGGGAACCCATCGAGGAACATAGTTGAGATGATCTTTCGAGCTGCTTCTAAAAACCCATCAAAGCATCCCAGGTTAATAAAGAGAGTCATGAGAGTGAAAAACACAATAGATGTCTTGGATAGATTTGAGAAGTACAGAGAGGCGGTGAAGAGCAGGTCTTGTGAGATGTGCAAGAGCCACCCAAGAAGCATGGTGGATGGAAATGAATTAATGCAATTCTATGGCACAACAATGACCTGCTGTAACAAAGAGAGGACAAAAATATCCGACCTTTGCAAAGACCCCAATTGCCGTGTTTGTAGGCTAATTCAATCTGGTTTCAACACTTCATACAACAAGAAAAATGGGATCCGGCTCAGTACAAACAGCGATACCCTCTGTGAGGATACAACCGTAATCTCTAACAGGAACAAAGCCAAGAGGGCAGTGATAGTTTGCCGCACCATTGCTGGCATAGTAGAGAAGGATCAAAACTTGCTCGAAGAAGATGGACTGGATACAAAGCTAGAATATTTAACTGTAAAAGACCCTAGTGCTGTACTCCCGTGTTTTGTTATAGTTTTCTGCTGACTATCCTTGTATAACCATTCAAACCTTTCTTGTGTCGCTAAACAGTATCTACAAAATTCATGTGTATGTATAATGTGTGTGCCGCATTTAGACTAGAAAAGTAAACTTTATGCCATTGCCATGGTACAACATAGATATAGAAGCAAACTGTTTTGATACTTTGACATTTTTAGGAAGTCTTAGAGCAAATCTGAGGTCAACAGATATGAAACAACCTAATTAAAATCTAACATAAGAGATATTAGTTGGATGCATTTACCTACCAAATCAGAGACTCCAAGTACAATGGGAATTCATTGCCACGCACAAGAGGCTACCAAGGCTCTGTTCATCCAACCGAGATAAAGAGCCTGATCTCTCTCCTCAAGTGTATAGTCCTTGCAGTAGTTCTCCAGAAGTGTCTTGATGGTGGCGTTAACAGAAGAGCTTAATGGGTAAGGTGTAAAACCGGCCATTGAAAATCTCGACCTCCATTTCTCGAGAACCTCGTGACGCTCCACTCGTTCCTCCCCTTCACATGCTAGAATATTGACAACTTCCCGAGCCAAGCAATGTTGCTCGACGTTTATACGTTCCTTATGGTCCCTCGGCAGAGCCACGTCTATTGATTCGAACACGGCTAGGTAATAGTTTAGTGTCTCCACGAACCGGGGAAAGAACGGGACTTTGTTTGTATCTGATTCTTGCTCCACGAGGGTCACGACTTTGGGAAACAAGCTCCTGACCATCCTCACCAGTCTGTCTCTGTGGTTTTGCGTGCCAACGTCCTCGTCTGGCATATGGTGCAATACGAGTGGAAAGTTCACAGCCAGAGCTTCTCCGGGTCGAACGTTTAGATGCTCAATCTTGACGTCAGCACATGAAGCAGCCACGGGTCGAAATTCAAACGGGACTTTGCATGATTCTGCAAGTGTAGACAACCTCTTACCCACAATCTCGAGCCCTCCTCCCCTGGCATGAGCCGATGTAGAGTCATCAATCCCTGTAATGCAGATCTGAGGTGGCCCACCAGGTCGGGCTGCAAGGGCGTGGATTAGGGTAATCCACTGGGTACCCTGAGAGATTTGGAAATCAATGATATGAACTCTCTCTTCATCTTTCATGGCATCAACGATTGCTCCATTGGCAGACAAATATCCAAATTTGAAGAACGGGCAGACTTCATAGAGCAAGTACATGTACGAGAAGAGCTCGTTGCTCGTAGGCTCTTTACACCTCAAGGCCTTATAGATAGAGCTTCCCGAGGAGGCTAATCTCGCAACCATACCCTCCAACATATACGCCCCTAACCGCTGTATCGGTTCACCACAAACCGAAACCATCGTCCGAAGCTCTGACATCCACCACTCGGCTCGTGGAATATCGTTATCTTCTATCGCCTTTGCACAGGCTACAAGCGATTCTTTCAAGCCCCTACGAGAAGTTATCCCCATCATCTCCTCTAACTTCTCCGCCTCTGATGACATCTGATCAGGATTGCCCATATTACTGCCATATGCTTCTGAACCATGGCCAAACATCGCAGATTCCAGCTCTCTTAGTTTATGCTTCAAGTCATTTTCATCCGTTAAGCTAGACTTGCTAGCTGCCGAGTGGTAGGTCTCCTCGGGAGAATGATGATGCACGTCTGCAAGATATAACTGCGAATCTTGCTGCAGAATGCCACTTGTATCAGACAAGAAGCTATCAGCAGTATAACTGTGGCCCGGGTAACCATAGGACATAACATCGTGATACTGGTCGTTAGTTTGAGCAAAGAATTCTGCGCCCCCAACAGCAAGAAACTGGTTATCTAGACCACCGGGAGTAGGTAAGCAATAGGACTCGAGATCCTGCACTGGTTGGTTATAGAACCTTCGAGACCCATCCATGTTCATATTGTTCTGAGATGGCTGCATCTCAGTTAACTCAATAAGTGATTTAGAAATTAGAATGGCCTGCAAAATTCAACAAGGTTATGTTATGTTAACCCCCCAAGTTCCCAAACTCCTATTTAAAACATTTGCAGCCTAAGTAAGCATGTTATGAGTGCAAAACCCAGAAATTTCAACCCAGAAAACTTCCTTAGAAAACACTTTGAACTTCAAGAAGTATGCCATTCATAAGCAGATGTTAATTTTTTCTTCAATACAACAGAATGGAGGAAAAAAAAAAAAAAAAGCACTACAAAACCCCATCTTAGGTGAACTAATATGTTCCCTAGGATTGTCTGAAAATCATAATCCAGCAAAAAAGGCAGAAAAGGGCAAGAAAATTGCAAAAGAGAGCTAGAACCAAACAACAAATAATACTCCTGTAATAGAATGAAATTGGAGAGAAAAAACAGATATTAGATGTAAAAAAAATCCAATCTTTTCAAGAACATGAAAATTTCAGAGGAAACCCAGAAATCAGCTAAGCAGATTAAAACAAGAAGACTGATAAATCAGAGGAGATAAGAAACACACTTACCCGGAATTGTGGAAGTGAAGTCAGAAATTAGACCTCAATCAAACTGCAATAAAGAAAGGGTTGAAGCCGACATCAGACAAGGAATAGCAGCGTTCACAAATTATCAGAGCAGAGAATAAGAAATCAAGTTGAAATGAGTAGCCCAGAATACCTGCGTCAAGAATTTCAACGCGTATGATATGATTATAGAATTGACTTGCTGGTATTAATAGTCAGCTCTCGATTTCAGACAAAAAGCTTGACTGTTGTTTTGGTATTTCTTCCTCGTTTTTATGCTTATGGTCAGCATTTAATATTGTCGCCCAGAGTTTTGAAATATTTATTATTATAATAAATGCATTGAACTGAAACGGTTGGAGGGATGGTGTTAAGTGTTAACGAATCAAACTTGGAGGAGAGGAGGGTATCCAAAGTCCTAAAATTCCAGTTTCGAACATAACAACAAATCTATTTCTATTATAGATCCTTATCAATTTTTGTGCGTAAATAAACAAAAGCAGAACAAAACACCATCGCAGTAATTCCCATCTATCAATTTAGTTATCCATTATTAGTTCATTCAAATTAATCTCTAATTGATCTCACAGATTAACTCACTGGTTCAGTATGCTGTATTTGAAAGAAGATACCAAGGTTGAAATCTCAGTGGCTGTGTGGGATTATGCCCAAAATGGACAGATCCCTTGTAAGCACGAACACAGAACACTAGCTGAACCATTAAGCTATGGTAATTTATATCTTCTGTTCAATCGATGATATGTGGGGCCCTTAGAGTTGGGGATTCAATTTTTTGAGAAAATAAAATAATCTCTAATTATACAAAATTTACAAAATTCAGTTCTCTAAAAGATTAAATTGAGTAAATTTTGCATAATTGATCTATAAATTATATTAAATGAATTGATAGTTAAAAATTATAGCATAGTTTAAGAGTTTATTTTGGACATTAACTCTTAAAAAAGAAAACAACATAAATAAACGTACTTTCATGACAAAAATATCCTAATTACTAGCATTTCCTAGTTCGATGTACTTAGCTTGAACAAGGTTATTGGTAATTAAGGAATTCATAATTACTCCGTATTTATTTATTATGATTTGTTTAGCAATTCATTGATGGTATTAACTGTATCACATTAATAATACGGAGTAGTTTTTTTCTATGAAAATATATTAATTGCTACATTGTGATTTAGTGACACGAAGTGACTTAAAATCTCAAACAAACTACTTTTTTTTTTATGGGTTTTAAAGTTGTTGAATAAATAAAAAAATAACATACAAGAATAATAATCTATTTTTATCCCTGTTACTTTTTTTTTTCCTAATAATTAAGTGTGAAAACTAATATAGGAAGGGCACAGCTCTTCCACTGTTTACCCTTCAATAAACTCTTCTAGAATCTAGTTAGTTTTTAGGAAAAGTAGTTGTTTACAAAATATAGAAATTAATTATTCTATTAATTTAAAAAAAAAAAAAAAAAGTAAAACCCTTTTTTTCAGAAAGGCTGTTCATTATGTTTGTGTGATTGTATCAACTGTGTGATGAGTAGGGTGCCATGATTCATTTGTCCCTTTTAAGTGCAAATCACATGCAACCACATGCACATTATATCATAATAAAAGTAAATATAAAAAGTAAAGAAATAAAAAATAAGAGAGTTGATTACAATATAGAATAAAATGTGTTTCCATGTTTTCAATGAAGGTTTGGGATGGAGTTTAAAATGATCAAGATGATAAAGAAGATCAGTAATAATTTTTTTTTTTTGAATGCAAGATCAGTAATAATTTAAATATAAAAAAAAAAAAGAAAAAAGAAATAAGCACATTGTTGGTATATATAGATGTTCAATGGACACATACTCTTCACATCTCTCATCACGTAGGTGATCAGGGTGGTCGTCACTCGTCATTCTCCAGTAATCTAATTATTATATTAAATTTTAAAATGTTTTATCTTTTTTTTTTCTTTTTTTTTTTAGAGTTAAAAACTCTCAAAATATCATCCATCTTATAATATACTTCTCATATAAAGTGTGTTGATTTATATACAATAAATAAAATCATTCTCTCTTGTATTTTGAATTTTGATGTGGACTTTAAAATTGAATACAACAAATAAGGTGCAAGTCCTCCTATATATATACAACAAATTAAAATTGTACTTTTTGCAATATTCTATATAGACAGTTGTCTAGGACTCTAGGTGTTGCGCCTTTTATAGATTATTGTTTAATTTGATTGCCATTTAAGTGACTTGACATTGACACCAACTTAGCTTCCTCTTTAAATCCGTTTTGCACCAAATAATTGTAAAGTATCTAGAATAATAATAGAGATAAGGCACAATTAGCTTACATATAGAAGAGAAAATAATTTTATTTTTAGGTGACAAGAGAAACTCGCAGTCATTACTCGATAATATGCATTGGACTGATTTTGCTTTGTGATTGATAGGCATATACGTAATCGCACTCGAGCTATGAAACAATGTCACCGGTCGGCTTGACTTCATCGCTGCGCAACCTTCTCAAGACCGATCGGCTCCGAGCCCGACCGAGCGATGTGAAACTCCCGACCGGCCGCCTTCTCCCAGTGACAGGCTATCTAGGTAGCATTGGGATGTACGCACCACGTGTGAAGAGCCCCTCAGGCGGGGTGCCGACAGCTGCATGCAAGCCACGCATCCACCATGTCAAGGACCTGGGGTGTATCCCCTCAACTCCTATAAATACCCACATTATTGTTGCGGATGAGACTTTTGACTCTTCGCTTGACCGGGAGCTTCTTGACCCAGGCCACTGTTGTTAGTTCCCGAGCTCAAGTCCTAGACAATCGTACAGTATATACGAGTCACCGTATATACACTATCAGTGATACTATCTAGTAAAGGACCACACGGAGGTAAATTAGCGTAGATTATCTGGCTCATAGCTGATCGGCTCAAAAACCAAGAAGCTAATACCAAATAAAATCCTTATATTATTAGAGTTTTGCTAAAATACGATAATGGCATAATATATAGTACACAAATGTTGGCTAAGCTAGCTAGCTTGCTCGGGCTAAATTTATCTCGAAAGCTTGATGTTGGCAAGACCGCAAGATTACATGAAAGTTTCAAAAGAATTTAATTTTTCTGTTAATGGTGGCATGAGTTGCAAGCTTGTAACACGTATAAAAGATTGTCGAGTTTTTTTTTTTTTTTTTTTTTTTGGTGGGTACTTTTTTTGTAAATGTGGTGTATGTGAATTTATTTTTAAAAGTAAAAGAGTATTGATTGCATAGATGTAAAGAAAATCGTGAAAAAATTGTAAAATTAGTTATCTGTAAGTATGATCACTTTTACATGACGTTTGGTTGGAGGGAATTTAAATTCCCTTCCCACTTAATTCCCACCTAATTTCAAAGGCCATAAAATTCATTCGTTTGGTTGGAAGGAATTGCAATTCCCCCATTTTCATGGAATTAAAATCTTATGTACTCCCTGGATTTTAATTCCTGGGATTTTGGGAAAAAAAAAAAAAGTCGGAGACAAAATTATCCCTCCTTTTTTTTTTTTAACCTAAAATTAATACTACAACAAAAATGGGCATTTTGGACTTTATACTACTTATTATATTCCCTTTCAATACCAATGTTTGGTATACATGGGGTGTAAACCAAACACTGTAATTTAAATTCTCACTTTATTCCTAGTAATTCATCTCCCATGGAATTACAATTCCTTTCCTACGTAATTCCTTCCTTCCAACCAAACGCGCTGTTAGGGGGTGTTTGGTTGAGAGGAAGGAAATGAATTGCAATTCGGTGGGAAAAGAATAAGGTATGAATAATGTAGAAATTCAAATTACATTGTTTGTTAGAGAGGAATAGAATTATCAAGGATGAGAATGAAAAAGTGGTATAAATACTAACATGTCATTGTGTAATAATAATAATAATAATAATAATAATAATAATAATAATAATAATAATAATAATAATAGTAGGCCCTTAGGATTGGGGTTCAGCCTTTTGGAATAATAATAATAATAACAATCAACAATAGTATTTTTGTTATTTTTTTTAATTTTTTCATTTCTACAAGCATTGAATTACAATTCAGGGATAGTTTTTATTGAATTACAATTCAATTACAACTAAATTACATCCAATCAAACGCCTTCTTAAAGCGAGAGAATGATAAAAGATATCCTAAAAGTGAGTCAAAATTTGTTGAGTAAGACATACATACACAAACAAGTACAAATTCTACATTATATTTTTGAATATACCATTAATAAGACATCATCATTATACGCATCTGTAAAAAGGAAGTAATGATTAAAGAAGATGATAAGATGGATGATGGGGAGAATGAATTGAAGACACTCCACTGCACCCATTTTCAATTTTCAACCAGTGAAGAATCTTTTCCAAGATTGCCATGGCAAAAATCCACCTGCAGTTAGTAAGTATATATTGCATATGGAGAACAACGTTAAATAATTTAATCACAACATTAAATATAATTAAGATTATTAATTGATCGGATGGTGTGAGATAGATATGATATGATGTTTGTACCGCAGGTAGGGCATCGGAAATAATCGGTTTCTCTAAGAACAAGGCCGGAGCCACCACAAGTAGTGCATCTCCGCTGTGCCACCTGCAATTATAGTAAAAGAATATTATTGGAAATTTATTTTGTTTTTAATATATAGGTGTAGGCAGGGCAGGGCCGGTGACGTACAATTCTCTTTCCGAACTCGATTCCGGCAACTATGAACGGTGTAACTCCAGCTGCGCATATGCAAAAATCACACTTCCAACTTCAACTTCAATTCGCTCCCAATTAAAATTAAAATTAAAGCTAAACTAAGGCAATTAACTAACAATACTATACATACATACCAATAGTCCCGACGATGATTTGCCAGGTGATCTCCACCGGAGTGGCGGCGGCGTCTGATGTAATAGCTGCAGCAGAAATTACGTCGGTGACGGGGTGGATTTTTGGTGCCAATCTATATGTATTATTATTATTGCGTTTGATGCAGTGGCGGTGATTATTGGCGTTGTAATTTGTGGAGATTGGAGAATATAATGAGTTTGTAGTGGAAGGTGAGATGAAGGGTGGTGGTGTTGGAGTGGATATGGTGGTGGGTGGCAAGACGGAGAGGCGGCGTGCGGGGAGTGAAGCTACAAATTCCATTGTGTTTCTCTTTTCTTTTTTAATTCTGAATTTTTTCCGGCCGGTGTATGATAAGAATATGTGTCTGCAACCACAACCACTGAATACCACTGGAGCTGCCAGTCTACCCACGTCGGCGGTTTTTTTTTTTTTTTTTTTTTTTTTTTGTGGCCAATTTTAACATTAATTGATTAAGTTGTCAGAGGGAATTACTGAGAGTATATGCCATGAAAATAAATGTATAAATGATCTGTTTTTTTATTAAGATATTTGATTTGATATATTTAGTTTATATATCAGGTTATTTAATTTGTAAGTCCTTTGATTTTTATATGTTTTAGTCAGGCTATATAAATGATTAAAACGTGATTAATTATATATGTACACTATATGAAATAATTATATTTGTGTTTAATCAAGTCCTTAATTTGGTTGATAATTTAAGGTGCAAATCGTTTACTAACATGAAAATTTTTCCAATTTTCTGAAATTTTGGATAATAAAAAAATAAAAAACATGTTTATTAGTACAATTTTTCATTTTGAAAACAAAAAGCACTTTCCAGTTTAATAGAAAACTAGAAAACTTTTTAAAAAATTATTTTTAAAATGAAAAACAAAATCATATATCATTTATTTGGCTATATATCACTATAACCACATTCTGACAATTATCTACTTTTATATATATATATATATATATATATATATATATATATATATATATATATATATATATTACTATGATTATTCATTATCGTATTTGCACGTACTCATGATGGTCGAGCTCAGACTCCTTGTGCTCGTGGTGGCCAAGCTCGAGCTCCTTGCACTCGTGGTGGTCGAACTTGGGCTCCTTGTGCTCATAGTGACCGAGATTGGGCTCTTTGCACTCGTGGTGGCCGAGCTCATACTCCTTGTACTTGTGGTGGCTGAGTTTGGTCTCATTTAAGTTTCTCGAGGTGAACTTGGTAAGACATGAGCTTGGATTCTCTGAGCAAAATGAATCCTTCACCATGAGCTCGGTATGTCACGAGCCCGACTTTTCGAAATGAGGCGTGATCTTCGATATGAGATCAACAAATCACGATCTCGACTTCGTGGGGTGGGAAAGGTTCTTCAACGTGTGCTTGGCTTCTAGGATGATGAGAGAAAGATGAGCCCTTCGTCGTGAGCTCAGGAAATCACAAGCATGTCCACTCGTGATAATACCAAGTCCTTCAAATGTGTGCTCGGCTAAAGCAGGACTCGATTAAACTAAGGTTGGCCACCTAACGTCGCACTAGGAGAATTGACATCTACATTAGCTCAGGCTCGGGCTCAAGTTCATTCCTCTTCTTTCATGTCGTGCCGATGGTCGGGGTAAATTGTCCTCCCCATCAACTTGAGCTAGCACTCGTGGCGACCAGGTACCCGCTGTTATGTTCGACCCCGAAGGGGGTGGGGTAAGGGTTTGCTTCCCTTGCACAACCCCATACTATGCCCCCGTGTCAAGTTAAGGGGGCTACACTACTCCTTGGAGCCCCTTAATGAGGTGAGTTAGCAAAGCTATAGCTTGTTGGATTGTGACCACTTCGTCTTGGAGGTCCAAGGGCGGAGGTGGGGCGATTGGGACCGACCCGCCATTGCAGTTGCTGTTGAGTTGGTCCCATGGGTCCCTTAGAGGTCGTTCTCGCTCAGGGTGAGGTGGGTGCTACGAGAGTTACGAGAGTCGAATGAATTGGACTTCTCCATTGCTATGGGAGATTGGTAGGTCAGAAAATAGAGAGCACGCTCGAACTCGTATGTCAAGATCTCAATGAAAGCACCCCTGATCGATTAAATTAACTCGGGTAACCCGAATTAACAAAATTCGATAATTAAAGAATAAATAAATGGATAATGATAAAGACAAAGGTATTGGTCGCGGTGACAAAGCTTATATTAAGACTTGAGTAATGTGATTACAAAGAGAATTTGAGATGTATTAACAGAACAACAATGAACGAATTTATACTAATCCACCCTCTAACTAGGTCCATCAGAATAGGGTGGGTGGTTGGGGACCTATTGATCGAGTCCATGCACCTCTGAAATGCCTACTCACTAGCTACCCCTAGACCACAGAGGTCGAGCCTAGAGCTCGACCTTAGACCCCAAAGGCACTGAGCACTAGGCTCGAGCTTGGGCTTGGTCTTGGACCCCAAGCGCCAGGCACCGGGCTAGGCTCTGAGCATTGAGCTCGGCCCTTGATACCACAAGGCTATGTGAGGTGCCAGACCCGAGTCGGACTGGGTTGCCTCACTTTCTTGCATAGGTCGATTTGTTCTGGACCCGCTCCCATATATCCATCATCTATACATATACAACACATCCCCATAAAACAATGTTCTTCAATTTTTAACCATTCTACAAAGATTTTCTTATATTATATTTGAAGATATGTTTTTTTAAAAAGTTATATTATCCTTCGAAAGCTTCATGTATTAATTACATGGTTAGAAAGATGTTATTACTTCTTCCCCCAAAAAGGTTAAATCACCAATCACAGAGATGGGCCAAAGGCTCCTCACATCCCGGTCTGACAGAGAATTTGGGAGGATGTAAATTACGGTGACTCAATGACTCAATATATAAAACTAAATGCCTGTGCACACAAGGGATTGCACTTTGGGCATAATTTCCACATTACCGCTGTCGAGGCTCGAACATTAATCTATTCTACCAAATATTATCTACTAAATCAGTAAGTTAAGTCCGTGCGGGTAAAAAGATGTTCTTACTTCTTACACGTTTTAGTCAAATAACCTTTTTAAATTTACACAAAAATTATAATTATATTTTCAATGAATAGAACTTTAAATTTAGATTAATGATAGATATAAAATTTCTACATTTAAACTTTTTACCTTACAAAACTAATACTGTTCATATTTTTAATGAATATTTAATGGAAGAATGATAATTATTTAATGTGTAAATATGATTGGAGTAATTTGTAAACATTTTTTTACCTAAATTTGTTCAAATTATACATGGAAGATGATAAACGACAGAAATTAATGGCGGTCGGCCCCGGCGTGACAGTAACAATCCACACCATGCATTCCAGAAAAGAAGAAGAAGATAAGGCAGAGTTGAAACTGCTCAGAAGAATTTTACATTTGAGGACAATAAAACCTCCATTTCTCAACTTCTTTCATATTCTAGGGTTTTAGAGTATATTCTCTGAATCTCTTCCCCCTTTTCGTACTCTCTTCCAAAAGGGAGACCAGCAATGGCGGTTCTTTCTGTCGGAATCGGCCCCTTTAGCCCTTCTCATTTCGACGGAAGACGTGCTGCCGGTAGAGAAAATAGTAGCTTCTCCAGGCTGAACCGGATTGTCGTGGTGTCTTCGCATTCAAATGCCAAAATTGTTAAGCCCAATCGTAAGTCTCGCCACGGCCGTGTGCTTTCGCCTTATGACTCCGACGATGACGGTAGCTTTGTCGACGATGATGACGAGTATGGTTCTGATGTGAGTTTTCGTCCTTTTTCTGTGAACTAATACCTCTTTTCTTTGGTTAAGTATTTCTCTGCATAGATGAAAGGGTGTAAGCTATATCATTGTTTAGTAATATTTCGTGATTCTATCTTCTAAGCGCAAGATGTTTATTCATTTTACGTTTTGTAAAAATTGGATTAAGCTGCGAAATTCTTAACAGGTAATTGCAGTCATATAAGTAAGTTGTTGTTAGTATCGAAGCAGCATTTATCTACTGATTGAAGCCATGAAGGTAGTTAACAAAATGCCACTAAATCGTTCCTAAGTGTGAGGAAATGAGGTAGAAAATTTCAAATGAAAAACATGGTGCTTTTGGTTTTCATAGTTGCTACAAATATTGTCTCTTTTAGAGGGTACTCTGTATTTAACAATTTTATTTCAAAACATCATAACCATGCTTGCAACAGTTGAGTTTGGTCAATGCTTTTAATTTGATCAGGTTTCTGTATGCAGGATGAGTTAGCAGCAATTAAAATTTCTAAAGCTGATAGGCAGCGGTTAAAATCTAAGAAGAACTCTACTGGTTTCATTCAAGGTATGTAGCTTGTTTTTGCAATAATATGATGGAAATCAAGCATCCACTTTACGTTATATGCGTCTTGAACAGGCAATCACAGGCATACAGAGTCTACATGGAATTCAGAACCATTTAAGTCGGGGAACCAAGGAAAGATGGGCATTAAGACTGGTGAAAGAACCACAGAGAAGAGAAAAATTGACACTTTCCATCATGCTACAAGTAGATCAACAGGCTCTAGTTCCTTGCACTCAGACGGCAAAGGAGAGGTATTAACTTTTAACATGGTATGCTATTAGATTTGACTTCAAATGTAATATGAGCAAAGCTTTTATCTTCTTGCATTGTAGGAGGAGGAAGGAAGATGTGTGAAAGAGAGATTTTCTCGTCTATCAGAAGAGCTAGGTTTGGATGAAAGATGTTTTCCACTTTTCAATTATCTCAGTACTTTTGGATTTAAGGACTCACACTTCATCCAGATGTATGAGAGGCACATGCCGTTCCTTCAGATAAATGTGGCATCTGCCCAAGAAAGGCTGGAATATTTGTTGAGCATTGGGGTGAAGCATAAAGACATTAGAAAGATAATCTTGAGGCAGCCTCAAATTCTTGAGTATACAGTGGAGAGCAATCTGAAATATCATGTTGATTTCTTGACCAGTCTGGGTATTCCGGATTCAAAAATTGGGAGGATAGTTACTGCAACTCCATCCCTTTTTTCTTATAGTGTGGAGAATTCACTAAAACCCACAGTGAGGTACTTGCTTGAGGAGGTAGGCATCAAGAAAAATGAGCTCAGCAAAATTTTGCAGTTGAGCCCACAAATTCTAGTGCAGCGAATTGACAGTACATGGACTACTCGGTTCAATTTTCTTACAAAAGAATTGGGTGCACCTAGAGATAGTATAGTGAAAATGGTTACGAAGCATCCTCAACTTCTTCACTATAGCATTGAGGGTGGATTACTTCCTAGGATTAATTTTCTACGAAGTATTGGGATGCGAGATTCAGACGTATTGAAAGTACTGACTAGCATTACACAGGTCTGCTTGCCTCCCAAGCCTGTTTGACATTTATGTTTCCTAGAATGCATATTATTAATGCTCACTGCTCAGGACATCAGGTCATGATGGATACTTTGGGAACACCATTTCTTCAAAAGATAACAAGTTCATAAAGTGATAGAACCTAACATACTTGGGAAAAAGAAAAATGCCCCTGATCCCCTTCTTAGCCGTTCTTCATACATAATTTTGAATACATAGTTTTCAATTTGTCTAGAACTTCCACAGAATATATCTTTTAGATTATAATATTGGTCTTCTCTTCAATTGCAGGTGTTTTCTCTATCGTTGGAGGGGAATCTGAAGCCCAAGTACATGTACCTGGTTAATGAACTTAAAAACGAGGTGCACTCCTTGACCAAATATCCAACATACCTAAGCCTGTCCTTGGACCAGAGAATTCGCCCCCGGCATAGGTTTTTGATTTCACTAAAGAAGGCTCCAAAAGGACCTTTTCCTTTGCGTTCACTGGTCCCAACTGATGAATGCTTTTGTCAGCAGTGGGCAGGGACGACCTTAGATACGTATCTCAATTTTCGACAGAGATTACTGTTAAAGGAATTTGCAAAAAAATATGAGAAGCGATGATGGGTTCAAACTCATTCCTAGTGTCTTCCACATGTGAAAAGGGATCTTTTTAATCCTGCTCTCAAGTGCCTAATTCAAAAATCTTTTCTTCACATACCTGGTAAGCAGAGCCACTAGATTTGCTATGAAATTTCATGAGATTCTGTTTTGTATCATTAAATAGAAAGGGATTGCATATATCACTCACAGTCTCTAATCTTTTCAGGGTCTAGCTAGGCTGTCTTATACAGTTCTTTTGTAGCTAAAGTGGATTTCTGCACATCTCTGGAGATTAATTAATTCAAACGGAACAAACAGATACCAATACTTTAGAATGTAAGCATTCCATTATTCACCTATATGATTAGGTCTATTGCATCCAATGTTATGTGGGTCTCTGCTGAAGATGAATGTTGATTTCATACAGGTACAGACATATATTGCAAGCCAAAATGGCAAATTTTCAAGTGAATTTCTTATGTTGAGAAGGTCTCATTTTAGGAGTTTTGTACTTCTTTTTCTTCTACTTTCTGTATGAAATTTTGACTTTCAATATGGTACATATTGGAATTTATTACCTAATAATTAAGGTATTTATGCTTCTCACCTCTAATATTCATATGTTCCCTTGATATCTCTTCTGAATCAGATGCAAATAAGCCACAGTTGAAATGAAGACCCTCTTGGTATCTACTTGCAAAAATCTTGTTTGAACACCCCCAGCCCAGCCCCCCACCCCCCCAAAAAAAAATACAAATAAAAAATTCAATCTTGTTGCTTGTGCTTCTTTAATAATGTTTGTTTACTTAATCTTACTACCTTCCATTGTCAACTACAATGATTAGTTGACCATAAAAAATGAGGTGTCTTGTATTTGATTTATTGCATTTGGATTTTGGAGTCTGAGAGGATTAATTACTACTGTATGTTAGATATTTCAATTTTTAAGTGAAAAAACCATTGGTTTGGTGCCTGCTGACTTGGCAGTCGGCCATGAGGATTATGTTTGAAAGGATCACCATACCAAAAGAATAATCATTGAGTTGATTGGTTGTCAGGTCTGAGCTGTACAATCTGTTTTAAAATTGATTGATTATTATTTTTAATACTCATTCTTATCCTTAAGACTCCCTTTTTCAATATATTTTAAATTAGTGTTTCCTTAGGTTCAAGAGTTCTTTATTCTAGAACCTACTATTAATTTTGTTTCTCTTGCAAAGGCACCATTTTAAAATGAGAAACTATATATTTGAAATTGTTATGTTGTTTTTATTTTTTGGATTAAAATATTAAAATGAAATTTTGTTTTCCTATTTACTTTAAATAAAAATTTCAAAAATGATCAACAATTTACATATTACGTGTCTTTGACTGATTAAATAAAATGAATTTAGTAACTAAAGAAATGAATTATTTATTAAAAAATTTTCAAATTTATTTACTAAAATTATTTTTTGAAATTAAAAAAATGGAGAATCAATTCCCACTTTTTATAGAATTTCAAGAAGAAAAATACTACTTGAATTTTTAAAGTTCTATTTTCTACTTTTACTCTTACACTTAAAATTTTTATGTTAACATTTTTTCCTTATATACAGAATGAAGATAATTTATCCTCTGGGCACATCCGGAGTAGAACTTTAATCCCTTGCAACAATATAGAGAGAGATATGATATTAGAATGAAGAGAAACTATAATCCAATAAAAATTGCAGTTGTGATTTGCGGAATCCAGTGTGTGAATGGGAGTTGTTCCCGTAATTTGCGGGGCATATCTGTCTGCCACTGCATCTAAATAAATTTGAGTCCACATATTACATATTACATATTACATATACAACATATACATATTATTGTGTTGGACCACAAGACAACAACATAAATAGGTGTAAAGAAAGAAAATAGTTCTCTTTTTTACCTATTTGATTGTCTTTCGCCATTTATAGCTGGTATTTCTGTGGCTCTCCCTAATAGTTAATGGGAGTATTTAGAACATTGAATTTTTTATTTAATAATTAATTAATGCATAAATATTGGGAATCTAAAATAAAATCTGAAGAATTACACAATATTTAATTTTAATTTTAGAGAAGATTTTATTTGTGACTCCATGCCCATGCTAAACAACCCTAAAATTGTTGTCATTGCTATAGTCCAATAGGCAAGGCAATTAATGAATCACAAATTTCCTTTTCCTCTGTGATATGATATGAAAATGTGGCCTCTATTTTAGACCTGACAAATTCTTATCCCCTCATGCACCGTCGCTTTCCCTTATTTTTATTCAACCACTCTACCTACTCATAATCATTAATTAAAAAATATCACCAAATCTAATATTATTCTTATCCAAAATCTAATTTTTGTCATGTCATCTCACATCATAACAAACTTCATAAACAAAACTCTCATCTAAATAATCACTTTTATTATCTCACTCCCTAAATTTAATCACTAATTATCACAAGTTGTAATTTTGATTCTTAATTAATTACAAAAATAGTTATTGTTAAAATAGTGTACTTTGATTCTCCTAAAGTGACTAAACGTATAAAAATTCAGGGACTGATAAATCAGTAACTTAAAATAAGAGATTATTAAAATAATAAAAGATAATAATAAAAGACACAATTAGAATGTCCAATCAATCAAGTCAAGTTAATGAACAAAACTTCAACATGCCAACCACCAATTATTAGTATTGGGCAATTGAGTACAATGAACTAAGCAAAAGAAACAAATGAATGCTGCAGTACATTTGTCTATATGATAAATTGCAGCTGTTTCTACAACAAATGACAAAACACAAAAAAGGCTGCTGCAAATGTAACCAAACAGCACAAACAAAGTCACTGTCCAACGTTTGAACTAATCTCATCTCAAACACAACACACACACACACACATATCTCCAAGTCATTCCAACACAACATCTAGCAGCAAAAAATGCACTACCATTCATGTTAAACAGTGAGTTATTCAGCACCTAAAGATTTTTTCGGTGTTACAGAGACATATATTTCTCTATCTCTGAACCATTGCCATATGTAACCACTACTTTCTTTCATCACTACTGTACATTCTTCTCTAAAGATTTTTTGTTTCGAAAGAAAAACAAAAGACATCCTTCTTTTATGCTGTCTCTAACATACCAAAGAAAAAAAAAACCTTTCTGTTATCATGTTCTTTCCTATGTATTCTTCTCACCCAGGTAAAAGGCGGGAAGATAAGCCTCACATTCTTCTTTAGCCGTATGTACTTGCTTTGCAGGGGGGAAACCTCTAAAACTCGCAAACCGAGAACTTCACAGGGAAAATAGTTCTGTATCTTGTGTCAAACGTAAGATCAGATGGCTGCCTTTTCAACTAGTCTTACCTATCAGACGAACGAACGACTTGTTATGTGTCATTTGGCCTACATAACTGCAGAGATGCTGGTCGGTAACGCAGACGCAAAGGGGCTGTCCGGGAGATTAATTCCTGAATTGCTGTACATTATCATCATCATCTCATCATTAAAATAAAGTATTAAACCGAAGAATTGGTGAGAAAGGAGGTTCCACGGATTTCGTACCTGTCGTGATCATGGTATTTTGTGCCTGAATATATTTGGTTATTATCATCACTTGAGGAGCCGCCGCTTGGACCATCCAACTGGTAGAAATCATCGGCAGATGTGAGCTTGGAATACTCTGCAAGAAACGAATGAAAAATGATAAAAACAATTTAGGAAATGTGGAATTTAATGTCGAATAAAACCAAATCTTATGGCACTACACCTTCAGACATTTTCAGATCGTCCATGGAATTGCCAAAGAAGGAATGATTAGACAACAGAGGCTTTCGTGCTAACTGCAGCTGCGAGAGTTGCCTTATCTCAAGTTCGAGAGCATGTTGTTCCTCGAATCTCCTTAGAAATTTGGAATCCAATCCTATAATCAAATATGAAACACTTACAACTAAACTTATTGGAAAAAAATAATAATTTAATTATGCAAAATGAGAAGCTAAAAACAAACTTGATTGATTCTCAGATTCAAAATCGTTGTGAGAGCCGTAATTCATTGATGGATCAATTTTGTCTTGAAATTTCCTGCAAAAGAGAGCAAGATACATCATAACGCAACGTCTCGAATAGGTAAATAGGTAAATCAGGGCTCGATTCTCAGCATTTGGAGTAAAACCTTTCAATAGGCTTCGACTTTTCTCTATATGGTTTCACAAGAACACGAGCCCCACACACAAAATGCGGGTTTCCCTTGTGCAAAACCGTCTTCACAGTATCAGAACTTGCAAAAGTAACAAAGCCAAACATCCGTTTCTGCTGGCAAGGAATTCTCACATCCTGAACAGGCCCGAAGGCACTATGAACAAAACCGAGAGTATATCAGTTAAAAAAAAAATTACAAGGTTCTGAAATAGGTGGGCAAAGTAACACTTCAGTATGATAATTGTTTTACTTGAAGTAATTGGAGACATCTTCCTCCGTAAAAGTGCTCTCCGCGGGGAAAGTGAGATATATTTGGCGAGAGCCACTGACAATAGGACCGGGATCATTCCTTTCACCCCGGAATTCAATGTACTTGGGCGCATCTTCAGCCAGTATTACAGAATGCTGCCCGTGAGGCCTGTAGTGTCGAATAAATTTACTAAAGTTACAAGTGCACTTACTAAACCAAATAGGTGAGCAATGTAGGAAAATGTCATAAAGGACCTGTCAATCAAACGAATACTGTTCTTCAACCGAGCAAGAAGTTTAGTCAAATTATAGCCAGCTTTACCGTGTCTCTGGCTCTCAGTTAGGTACCCTTCAGCCTGAAGGGTTCTTCCATATTTCTCATAGTACATCATAGGCAGAGACGCGATTGAAACCGGGCTGCCTCTTCTGGATTTCAAGAGCTCTGTTATCTCGAGCTCTAATTTCTCGAGGGACCCGGGGGAGAAAACTTGATCATCGTTACCATTATCGAACGCATTAGAGCCATACATCCCCCTCGGGTAGTTGTCCGGGAAGGGGTGTCCATGTAAATACCTACAGTTACTGCCATGCTTGCAGAACCCTTTGCTGAAATAATGACAGGCCTTGGGCGGAAACTCGAGAACAGCCGGAGAATTCCTGCGCCCCCTCACACTAAACCCAGGCTCCGGGTAAACAAAATCACTCGAGAAATCAAAGGTCCCAGAATTAGGCGATTCCTCAAATGGCCCCAGCTGCTGCTGGGGCTTGTGGGGTCCATAATCATCATGGGGCAAATGCGAAAACTCAGAATTGTAGACCATCTGCTGCTGCTGCTCGGGCACCGGAGGCTCCCAAAACGGAGCCGTCACACGAAATGAAGCCGGAGACGGGAAGGTGCGTGCCAATGGGGGCGCAATCGAGGGTAGCCTAAAGGAAGGGTCTGAAATGGGGACTTGGTTCATAGAAGGCGAAATCGGGGGCGAAAGACATGAGGTTGAGGGCAATTTAAGTGCAGTTTTTGCCTTGTGTATCAGTTCATAGATCAAAGTATCAGGCCCCATAGCCAACCTAATGATTTCCTGGTCAGGGTAGTCCCTCAAGTACATATACCCTATAATCTTCATTGTTACACTTTCTGGTTCCAATTTCAAGATTCTCTCATGCACTTTTTTCACTGCATCAAATTTATCCATTGTACAGAAACCTACAGGATACATACATACATATATACATACATTCAAACCATATCAGAATCCACCAAAAAACACCCTTTTCTTCCCCAACATCACAGAGATCAAAATCAAGGTCTAGATTCATTCAAACAGTGAAAATGGAAAATCTATTAAAAAAAATAAAAAAAAATTACCTATACAAGGGCATAACTAGGCTGATACAAGTCCAAAATGCTGTAAAGAGGAGACTTCATACCAAAATAGAACAAACACACAAGAGAGAAACTGTTTCCCAACACATAATTACCCAAAGAGGACGCCATGAAAACATGGCTAAAAACACAGTCAAAGAGAAGAAACAACAAATACCTTAATCTACTCGAGAAAATTTAACAAAAATCCCAAGAAATCATTTCACCGAGTCTAGAGGAAACAAAACTATACAGAATTACAGAGAAAAAAAACAGCACATGAAAGACTGAGCGAACAAAAAATAATAATAAATAGAAGATTGAGACATACCTATCCACGAAAACCTTTCAGTGTTTTGCAAGAAACCGAACAGTCAAACACCACAACCAAGTAACTGAAACCTTAATTGCTTGCAATCATATGGTTGCTTGCGACCATGAATTTCTCCTTTTCCATTTCCCTCTAAAGAGCCCACTCAACTAACTATACTATATTATATATATTTGTGTATGTATGTATGTATCCTCTACACATTCAAACTTCCGCGTGTGCCATAAAAGAAAGAAAGAAGGGGGGAGAGGAGAAAAAACTGAAAAGTGTAGAATGATGATGAGATGAATATAGAGAAGTAATTATAGGAAGAAATAAAAATGGGAATTTATTAACAAGGAAATTTGAAATTTACAGCTAGCAGTGTTTAGTTAAGATTTTCCTAGATTCACGTAATTGTTGAGGACAACTCGGGTTACCCATAAAAGACAAAACTGCCACTTGAACTATGTTCATATTTTGAGGATTTGACCAAATAAAATCACTAAAAAATTATATTATTAATAAATAAAAGTAAATATGCTTTCGGAAATTACAATGTAAGGAAACTGGAAAACTGTCTGTCATGTACTTGTTACTTGGTCTTTTCAGTTACCATTTGACTTTACTTACACACATATATGTATGTATCTGTGTATAATTTTCAAGATTAGAGATGAAAAACTGTATCCAAACATCATAATTTTTTATTATTATTTTTTTCCTTTTTTGGTGTGTGGTTATGAATTGATTAGAGAACAGTAGAGAAGAATGAAGGTGCACATGATTGCTTCCTCTCAATTGTGTGTTTTTCTTGTTTCATACAATGGGACCCACCTTAAGTAATCATTAGTGTTTACCATTTGTACTTGTTACTTTTGAATAATCATTAATTGTATTTTGTTAATTTTGAATAACCATTAATTGTATGTTGTTAATTTTGAATAATCATTAGCTGTATAATACAAATCATGTGATGAAAATATATATTGTGAAAATAAAAATGATCGGAATTGAGTTATTGTTTGGTTTGTTTTGTGGTGGAGTAGTGTTTTGTTTGGTATCATGTTACATGAAACTGTATCCACTAGTTAGCTGGAGGCTGGAGGTGTGCATTTGGATGGATGGGTCATTTTCTTTTCTTTAAATTGTTGGAAAGTAGAGATATTTGGGAGGACCAGTTTGATCCCAGATCACTGACAGGACCACACTCAATTTATCCAGTAAAATTTAAATAATTAACAAAAAAAAAAAAAAAAAAAGAAGTCCAAGGGCAATAGTGGAAAGGGAGATGAATAAGTTGAACGTTTTGAGCGGCAACATGATAGGGAAAACTGGGATTTTATTTAACTGACTGAATACATTTTGTGGGAAAGTTTTTTTTTTTTTTTTTTTTTTTTTTTAAATACAGTTGAGAAAAGAAGGGATAGTTTGAGTTGATCTAGTAATGTGGCAACTCTTTCCCTACTCTTTCTCTCCTCTTTGACTCTCTTTATTTCCTTCTTTCTGGTTTTGACTCTCTACTCTCATGCCCCAATAACATAACTGCCCCAACTCATCAGGCCCCGCTACATCTCTTCTCCATCCCACATTCTTCAATAATTATTATTATTATTATTATCATTTTGGTGGCTAGATAAAGTGAATAATGCTTCTTTTAATTCAATTTAACAGAGATCCTACTTATATAATTTGACTTTTATATAACTGAAATGTTAATTATTTTTTTCCAGTTGCAGACTAGATTGACCCATTATTAGGTACCTGGGATTTACCCCTTTTATCAGAATTATTATTATTATTATTCCTGCCCTCTGATATTGTGGGGCTTTAAGTATTGGTCTTAATTGTGGAATTAAGTTAAAGGTCTTCATTCCCAAGTGGAAGATCTTTGTCTAGAGAGCTAACCACTACAAATTTATACTAAAGAATGAAGAGTGTAACATTAACATGCCCAGATGAGAGCACAATATATGAAGACAGCTTAGCTTGCATGCATTAGTATGTGGACTGCCCATTGCAAGGAATGGTACGGTGTTGATTTTAGCAGCTGCGCTGGTTAGTTGTGGTGGCCGGAATTTGGCGAGCAAGAAACGAATGAAGCAGTATGGCCGGGAAGCCAAAGTTACGTTGCTCGATCATATCGATCTCCCCCGCGGCCCGCGCTTGGAGCGAGGTCGATCGGCGTCTCTCAATTATTGTATTATATATATATATATATTAAAGTTTCAAATCAAACAATCGAATTAAGTCCCAAACAATTTTAATTTATGATTAAAAATGACACATTTTTAATGATTGATGATCAAATAAGATTGGGTTTGATTAAATGATCAAAAGTTTATAGTATAATAATATAACTAGTAATTCATCCGCGCGATGCACGGAAAAAAATTATGTTATTATAAATATAAATAAAAAAATAGAAAAAATAAAAATATTTTAAATTGTTTAATATAATAATATTTTCGAGCTTCCATTGGTTAAGTATTTATTATTTTTATAGAATACAAATGGTCTTGGACTTATAAAATGACATTTGAGTTTATGGAATGCCATGTGCATAAAGAATATATTATATAATCATATAAAAAAATGTGTTCAATTAGAGTTTAAATTTACTCATACAAATTTCAAATTTTGTATGAGTAAATTTAAACTCTAATTGAACACATTTTTTTATATGATTATATAATATATTCTTTATGCACATGGCATTCCATAAACTCAAATGTCATTTTATAAGTCCAAGACCATTTTTGGAGATAATTCAAATGTATTTTTTTTTTCTTTTAAAAGTCCTAAGTTTAGACATCCAGAAAAACATTAAAGACCCATACGATATATACATTATATATATATTTAAATTTTTATTTATGGCTTAAATGATTTTTTTTATTATGAAGTCCAATAATGTTGGTAATTAATTGTAACATTAATTATTTCCCAACCATATAGCTTTATTATATGTAATGTATATATATATATATATATATATATATATATATATATATATATATAATTTGACTTTTAACAGAGATCCTACTTATATAATTTGACTTTTATATAACTGAAAGTATATGTTCTTCATTCGTGTCCCACGGCAGAGTTCAACCAGGGAAAGGATAGTATAGTAAAGGTTGGGAATTTTTTTAAAAAAAATGTTTCAAGTTGTTTTCATAATTAAAAAGAAAGTTATGGGATGTATTTTCTAAAAAGAAATGCATTTAAGGGTTTAATTGAAAATTTTATATATATATATATATATATATATATATATATATATATATATATATATATATAGCGTTAATTTTATTTTTGGTCTTAAATTTATAAGTGACACTTCACTTTTAATCTTTTTTAATCATAACATATACATTTGGTCCTATAATTATTATGACATGACCATTTTGGTCATCCATCAACAAAATCGTTAAAATATCGTTAAATGCAAATACATTTCGATCATTTTTATATAAAGTGAGTTGATCTAGCTATATTTTCATGTTTGTTTTTTTTGAAAAAAATCATAATTGATGACCGAAATATTTTTGTATTTAATCACATTAAAACTGTTTTGTTGATAGATGACAAAAAATGATCATGTCGCAATAATACTAGGACCAACTATAGATGTTCTGATAAAAATTAAACGGACTAAAAATAGACTAATACCTATAAATCTAGGACCAAAAATAAAATTAACTCTTTTAGGTACAACAGAAGATAATTAAGGGTCCATTTGAATGCTTACAAAATGACTTTCGAAAGTTATTTTTGAATTTTTCAGTGTTTGATTATGAATGAAAAATACTCATTCTATTCAAAGAAAAAAATAATTCATTTTAGAGGAAAATGTCTTCCTAGATATTTACTTAGAATGCATTTGTTGGATTCCTATTTCCCACTCACCTTTCTCTTTCTGAATAGTGTCAAATGTGCAAGTTAGTCTACTATATATCTGGTTATTGTTTAAATTTGATTTGATTGGACTAATCCGGTTAAATTATAATTGGATCAAATAATAAAAATCTTGACTCATCCCGACCTATAACTCAAAATATTAAAAAAAAAAACATTTTAAATTTTTTTCTTATTTTTTTTAGTTTAGATTTATTACATTTATTAATAACTTATTAAAATATAGATTGGATTGGTCATACCAAACAATAAAAATCTTAACCTAACCCGCAACACAAAAATTTAACTTTTTTTCTTCAATTTTTTTTAGTTCAGAGAATATTTATCAAGGTCTGATTAAATTAATATGAAACGGGTTTGGTCAATCTAAACAATAAAAGTTTTGACATTACATGCCTACATCCCCCAAAAAAAAGTAAATTTGTTTTCTTCAATTTTATTTTATTCCAAAATTATTATGTTTATCAATGTATTTATTTTTATTATAATAAATTACAAATTAAAAATTATTATATTATAACTATTGTTAATCTTTATAACTATTATAATTTTAATTTATAATTATATTTTAATATAAACAATAATTATTATTATCATTAAATCAATTAATGTTTTATAAGAAATAATTTTGTAATGAATTTATGTTCATGATTTTTAAAATAAACCAAACAAGAAAAATTACGCGAGCAGAATCACAATTCGTCCTTCATTACTTTGGTTTTAAGAGAACGGATGAGAGGATGTCTAATGATGGATATATATAATAGTATTTTCATAAGCTGTTGAGATATACGATTTTTGACTAAGCTAAAGTAGAGTTTACGAAAGAATTTTTTACTACGTATATACCATAAATTTCAAGTTACTCCCTTAGAGAATTTTTCATAAAAGTAACCTGAGAAATTTTACATTTTCTTATATTTCAAAAGTTCTTGTTTGATTACCCTTGTTACTTAGTAATGCAAATCGAAAACTTTTAGGATAGTGTTTTTCACATGCTTGAATAGGGAATACAGTAATGGAGTGTTTCCTTTTCTTTTTTTTTTTTTTGAAATAAAAGAGCTAATTTATTATTCATACGATGAAAAGTTTACAATAAGATTGATGGAATGATAAAACATTCTTACAATCAGACATTGAAACAAATTTCCAATGCTACACGAAACTTGAATCTCTGCCTGTTTTTCAAGATTGAAGCTGAATTCATTTAGAGAACCTAAAGCTTCTTTGATATTGTTAATGATCTTGCTACCCAAGTCTGACTCTATTGCGGCTCTTCTGTTCATAGACAATATCTCCATTAATCTGAACTGCATATCAAGGTTCAGATCTTCTTCGATGCTCGGGACGAAGCAAACATACTCCATTATTAGATAAATGGTTTCACCTTATGAAAAAAGAACTCGCCAAATAAACTAGAGGAAAACTCGCTAAAGACACGAGAGGAAATAACTCGCAAACGAAACGAGAGGGAATAACTTTAACAGAACCAACATATGAAAACCAAATCCAAAACAAGCCAAAACAAATCCTAAACACCAAACCACTCACTAGTGTGTGTGTGTGAAATTTATTGAACCGCTGAAAAAAGGTAAAGAAGCTTGGATCTGGAGTTGGAAATAGCGAGGGACGGTGGTGAAGGAGGAAGAAACGTTGGTGAGGGGCTGGAGGAGATGAAGGCGATGGAAAAGAGGCGGGAAGAGGTGCCGGCAGTGGATGAGAGGCCGAAAGACAGGCGGTTGATAGACGGTCAGAGTAGGGGAAGAAACGAGAAGAGGCTGGCGCCGCCTCAGCAAAACGAGCGGAGGCGGCGACCGATCAATGGAGGATGAGGGAAAACCCTTGCAAAGAGAATATTAGGTTGAGTTTTTTTTTTTCTTATACTTTCACAAATAATCGTGTTTTACCTCAATGGAGTGTTTCCTTGTTTGTACTGAGTCTTAAGTTCCTTATACGAGACCCAGATTCCTAAAAAGTCATACAATGGCATATGCCGCACTGACCGCACGGAAAGACTTGTTCTCACCGGAACCAAAATCTATATATATATATATATATATATATATATATATATATATATATATATATAAACATTGATTTTGTATAATGTGTTGTTTTCTTGGTACCTAGCTAGAAGCTACATGTGTTGGAATTGTGGTTTTGTGTAGCCTAAACCGAAGACCACAAGGAAGGAAGGAAGGAAGGAAGATATAGAAAGCAAGTGCAACTGCCAACTGCAAGCTGCATCCATTCAATTTCCATGGCAGCTTCAACAAATTCTTGAGAGGAACCCAACTTATATTCTTTCTTTATGACCCATCAACATCGTTTCATATTTTTGCCAAGATTTCCACCGTCAAATACAGTGACTAATTCCCTTTGCTAAATTATAGACACCTCTATTGGGTAGAACAACTGACCTAGAGACTGAGGTTACTTCATACTCAAAGCCAAGAATCAAACTCTTAACCAATGCTTACTTGGTTAATAACATCTCCATCTCTTTCTAAACAGGGCAACTGCAACTAATTTCACTTTCACCACTATCTTTCCTTTTCAACTTTTTATCCTCTTCCTAACGCAAATGCACCTTAAAGCCCTTTCCCGTTCATGTACCCATCAATCAATCCCAACACCAGCAAATGCCTCTTCATCTTGGACACAATATAACAGCTTCAACACAGTTCTCAAATTTACAATCTTTTCAAGGACATTATTATATTCATATGACCATTGCATCATTCCATAGGAAGAGCTCAGAGTAATTCCCCCATTCTCATTCCTCCTATTGCACTTTTGCAGAAGCACTTCAGGCACTTGCAGCAGCAGCAAGCAAAGGAGATGAGAGGCAACAACACTGAGTTTTACAGATGTTGATACTTCTCTGCATCTGTGAACAATGCTACATTTCCCTCCCTTTGTTATTTCATTAAGGATTTTGCCCGGATAATTTAGTATTATTAGATAGTTGTAACAAGTAGACCATTCATTCAACGTTATGAAGGTCATGACTGTTTTTGTGTTCAGATTTTACAAAATTGTTGGATAGGCAATTGCCGTTATCTGTTTTCCCATGAAAGCTGACCTCATTGTTTGATTCGTCTTGCTTGTTCCATTTTGCGATAATTTTTGGGGCCCAGTGTCTCACACCTTTGGTCTCTAGTTCTGCATCATCGTGGTTGATCCGTTCAAATCGAACCGCACTCACTTTTCTCGCATTTCCTGCTAATATCTGCACCGTACAAAAGCATTATCAAGCTACCAACTACCCTGCTAATTAAACATTCTAAAAAGTCCTACAACCTTTATCAAACAATACATAGAAAGAAAAGCTACTTTTTTGGCAATGAAATACCATCCAACATTATTTATTAGTGTGGTAGTTAAATATGATATAGCTAGTTAACTGGACATTGGAATTCGGACCTTTTCTAGCAAAGCAATCAAACCTAAGGCTTGCTTCACACTAATGATGATAAAGTAGTACTCATAAATATTGAGTCAAGGTGGACAATAAAGAAGGAAGCAGAAAGTGGAAAAAGAACAGTTATGAAATGAGAAAGTAAACATTACTTGTGAGAGGACCCAAAAGAAGGGAGACGAAACATTACCTCAAGCTTATAAATTTGATTCTTTTCATTTTTATCCCCTTGATCAGATTCCTTTCCAGAATAGTCATTGTGTTCTTCTTGATTTGACTTTTCAAGTATCACTTTTATGCTCTCACCCGTCCTAGGTATGTAACCAAATGCTTCACAAACAAAACCAGAAACTGTTTCGTATTGATGATCCTGAATAGAAATTAAAAGAATAAAGGTCAGTGAAGGAGGAAATCACAAAGGATCTTAATGGGAAAGAAGAGAATTGAAATTTTCATAGCAAATCAATCATTGCGGAAGATAACAATTTACCTCGGGCATTTTAATCTCGAGTTCATCAGATAGCTGATCAATGGATGTATTAGCATCCACATCAAAGATTCCCTCAGCCCTGAGAACAATGTAGCCAGTTTTCTTCTGGATCTCTTCCTGCCATGGTATCAAATACTGTGAGAACTCTTTCCTTTAACTTATAAATCACAGGTATGCTGATTAAAGAAGTTACAAGTAGTGGCATCAATGATGAATTGAAGCATATCAGAAATCATTAAAGTGGTGATGGTCTAGTGATAAATTGAAGTACAGATTCATCTGAAACCAGTGAGAGTATAATAATCACTTGAATTGCAAAGAAACAAATTTTTCGTATGAGCCTTACTTTGGAATCATTTTCATCAAAGATTTCACCAACAATTTCCTCAACCACATCTTCAAGGGTTACAATCTGATTCAAAGGAAAGACAATTGAAGAGAAACATGGCAGAATAGATGAGTATAAAATACAGATATAGGCAATTAGGCATACTGGATATGGTGGCTTGGATAAACAAAACTACTGGTAGAACTTTATTTCAAGATGAGAAAGAATACATACTCCAATAGTTCCTCCATATTCATTAAGAACAACAGCCATGTGTACTTTCCTAATGCGGAATTCTCTGAGGAGATTCCAAACTGACATTGAATCTGCAACATTGCAATGCTTTCTTATCTTATTGGCATCATATCAGCTACCAAACAGTGGGAAAAAAATAAATGGAGCAAAAGTCAAGTTCTATAAGCAATTAAGCATGAATTGGAAGCACTACAAAGATTTGGAGATAGGTCTGTAACAAGATCCCTGCACTGATTATGGAAGTATCAATCTTAGGCAGACATATAAGCCCAGCTCTAAAGGGCTTCAGAAGTATTGTCTTTACTCTTTAGGATTATGGATGGATATGACCAGAGTAAATATCAGTCACTCAAACTCCCAAAAGATATCTGTAATTATCTTAAGACTGGTGATCTATATATTCAATATAGCCCCTTTTTAAAGAATATATGACGATAATAAAGCTTATACAAGGACTACAAAAGAAATCATCTCGACCTAACTTTCTGCAATCATAGAGCTTCAAATCTTACTCCACAATGCATTCCGCAACTTACTCGTGACAACTACATATTTTAAGTAATCCCCTCCCACTATCAATGGCATTCTTATCCTCCTTTCTTAATGTACACAATTAGGTGAGAAAGGAAATAAAACAGAGTACATATCATGTGAAACTCAGATCTGAAGCATAATTAGGAATAAAAATTTTATTTTTAATTAATAATTCAAAATTAAATTAAATTGAAATTACCAGGTACAAAGTATGCAGGTTTGTGAGCTATATCCCCCACCATAGAACTTTCCAGTAGTTCCCCCTTCAAAAATCAAACAAAATATAATTCTGTATATTATGAGATTGGTGTACAACTAGAGAACAGCAACAATTAAGAACATGAAGTGCTAGAAATAGTAGGTGACCTTTTGCACATAATCCAGAAGATCCATTGCATATGCAATGCCAACAATATTATCTATACGCTGCTCAAAAACAGGCACCCTACAAGAGTATACTTTATAAGAAACTTGAAAAGGAAATAGCTTCTAAATTCACGAATGGAAAGTGTATTATACCTAGAGTATTGATGAGTCACCCACAAATTCTGGAAATCAACCAGTGTAGCACTGGCATCTATTGCCACAACATCAACAAGCGGTGTCATAACCTCTCGAACATGTGTATCTTTGATCTCTAACACATTTTCAATCATATCCTGCAAGAGGGAACACACATCAGACCCAGATTTTCTTTAGAACATACACAAATCCTTTACAAGGTGTTTGGTTGCAATGAGGAAATTAGGGGAGAACTGAATTGCAATTCCACGGGGGAGGAATAAACTAGAATTTCATTCTGGATGGTAGTAAATGAAGTAAAAAAGAACTTGCATCTATGTATGATAGTTTGAAGTTCCTGTTTGTTAGAAGTTCTGCGAACCGAGCCGCCCATGTAATGGCGAGAGAAGCTCGTTCTATGTCAGGCTGTTTGGAGTGGTTGTCTTCTCCCGGTTTCCTTGATCATGTACTGTTCTTTGATAATGATAATTAATGATGTTTCGTGTTTTGTTTTAAAAAAAAAAAAAAATTAATATAGAAAGTCATTTCATTGTTTGGTTGGTGGGAATAGGATTACTAAATAATCCTATTCTAGTGTTTGGTTTACATGCGAACAGAAAGAGAATATATAAGTAGTATAAAGGCCAAATTGTCCATGCATTATCATAATAGTATAATAAATTAAAATGAAATACATTCTATTATAATAAATTAAAATTTTAAATTAATTACATTTACAATATTATAATTATAATATAGTAATCTATAATTATAATATAATAAATCATAAAGTATAATAAGGAAAATTTATCATCTTCGTCCATAAGTTTTTGGGTAACTGTTACTTCATCCCAATTTTGGTTGTGCTTCTATTTTGTCCTTAAGTTTTTATTTAGGTTGTTCTTTCCATCCCTAATTCTTGGGAAATACCTTCTATCATGATTCTTCTCACTCCAAAACATTTTAATTGGTTGCAACTCTCTACATATGCATTGTGAAACTTTAATCTAAAAACTTGAGAACAAAGCAATTGAATTTGAGGACAAATTAGATGAATTCCTCAACATTTTACACTCTTAAATGTTAGGGAATTCAATTGATTTATCCTCAAATTTTTAAAATAAAGATTCACAATACAAATTTGGAGAGTCACAACCAGTTAAAATATCTTGGAGTAAAAAAGAATCTTTGTAAAATGTATTGCCCACAGAACTAGGGATAAAAAGAGTAACCTAGATAAAAGCTTAAGAACTTAATACAAGCACATGCAAGAACTAAGGACAAAAATAACAATTACCTAAGAACTTAAAGACAAAAATTGCAACTTCTCCATTATAATAATCAATTTATTATATTATACACAAGGTTCAAAAAAAAGCTAGTTTGGGTATCAAGGCGTTTTGTATTGGAAGATAGGGCATAAGCCTCAAAACATACCCTAAAAATGATCAATATATTAATTTTTTTAGTTATTTTATTTAATGGAACACCAAATTAAATCACATTGAATCATCATTATTAAAAAAAATTAATATATTAAATCAAATAGTTAGTATAAAATTTAAAATATAAGATTATATATATATATATATATATATATATATATATATATATATATATAATGTTATTATTAATTATCAATTATGTAATTAATACTTGAGACAGTTGTAGAGTTCTAAAAGTCTATCTCTTAGTTTCCCGGGATTCTAGAGAGTCTGTAATTAATATCTCCTTGTTTCTTAGTCTTACAAAGTACCTCAGAGTCTGTCTCCCTCTCACTCTCTATCCCAAACAATCATAGTAGGAAAAAATTAACAAAGGAACTATCGAAGAAGAGGAAAAAAAAAAAAACCTTAAACAAGAAGAAGACTCAAAGAAGTTGAAACACTGCTGCTAGAGAAGTTAGAAGTTACTTTGACTTCTCTAGCAACAGGGCAGTTCAGTTGAGTCATCGTAAGCTAGAGTCCAGAGGAGGTGAGTTCCACTCACCTTTTTTTAATTTAAACCCTAGGCATTTTTTACTGGGTGTGTTGATAGAAAGCACACTTCGCTCTCGCACCACCTTAGGCTGAGCATGCCTCAGAAACACCTTTTTAAACCTTGATTATACAAAATTCCAATTCAAAAATTTATTACCAAGATTATTAGAATTGGGAAGGCTATTCTTGTCAGGCAACCTCAATCTTTCTTCCCAAGAGTCACAAAATTAAAAATCCTGAGGGAGGGGGGGGGGGGGGGGGGGGGAGGGGAGAGTTGGGAGTTCCAACTCCTCAAACCAAACATGTTGTTAGGGTTTTCCATCAGGAAGGATGAGACAAGGAAACCGGAATACTCTCTTGTTTTTGGGTTCATGTTTTTTTGCCCAAGGCCTTGTGGTCGAATGGCACTAGCCTAAGACTTTAAGTTAGGATGTCAAGGTTCAAACCCCAACCCCCTCAAATGAACCCAAAAAAAAAAAGTTCATTTTGTTTTTGGGTGGAGAAAAGAGGGTGAGGTTGTACTGCATGATTATCTATCTTGCCTAACTAACCTTTGCAAGTATTCTAGTAATAACTTATTCTTCTAGAAGCCACTCAATACGATTATGAATATTGCATGTAGCGTAAGGATATGCACAAAACATGAGAACATGCAACACAAATTAGCAAAAATGTTAATTTAATGCCTTCAAAAATTACTCAGGAAATGCTAGTGCAGAGGTAGTTCTCGGTAGGTTAATCTTTGTTAGTTTAGTGGTAGTTTTGAGTGGTTATTGGTTACATCTGTGTTACATTATATATCTCTTGTAGATTATTCTAGATGAACTATATTACATCATATAGCATATTTTACAGTTTCTCTATGGTATCAAGAGCATCTTTGTTAACTATTGAAAAAAAAAAAATTGCAGCTGTTTTCTGCAATTCTTTCAGTTTCCGGTGATCTACAATATTTCGGCAATGTCCTACGTCTTCAATCTTTTCTTTTCCCTCTCTATGGCTGAAAATTCATCCATCACTCAAGCTGATTTTTTTCATCCTTCAAATGTGGATTCCTCTGCAATCACTTCTTCAGTTTTGCTTCAGCCACAGACTTCTGTTTCCATGCAACAGAAGCTTGGTTCTGCAATGCAATTTCTTCATCGAAACTTCTTTTCCATCTGCAATTCCACTTTTTGTTTTGGTCTTTTCCTGATGGTTATGAAATCTACCTCGGGCTTATCAATTCTACTACAGTTTTGTCTTCACTCTTCAGCTTCAGATTATCCTCTGGCTTCAACTACTCCCTTTTCAGTGCATATCAAGGTTTCAGTTCCAATGTTTCTTTTAGATAGCCCTTATAAGCAACAGTATTTCTCCTGACTTCCTCTTCAATCTTTATTATCTGCTACATCTTTGCCCTTCCCCTCCAACAATGTTTATATCTCTTTTCTTTTCCCAAAAAAAAACAGACAACTAATTAGTTTGGCAAGCAGTTTCTTCTACCCCTCACTTCTTCTATTGGCTTTGGTTTCTCTCATGGCAACTATCTGGTTTCTCATGTAACTTTTGATGCAGCTTCTCCTGGAGCTTTTTCTTCTTTGGTTTCCATTCAACCACTTCATGGATTAAGATGCTACATCACAGTCATTGCCCTGCTATTGCCCAGCTAAGACTGAGGGGGGTATATTAGTGTAGTGGCAGTTCTAGGTAGTTACATCTATGTTAGTGTAGTCAGTAGCGGTAGTCATATCCCTAGTAACTTCTATTGTAGATGAACTGTAATGCATCATAGCATATTTTACAGTTCCTAATGGAGGTTATAACCGCAGTCTTTTTCTAATTTGACTATTTGAGTTTCATACAGTTAATTACATTACTCTTCAGCAAGAAACGAAAGCACAAATAAACAAAGACTAGTGAATAAGGTTCATCCTAACTTAAATAAATATTGTATATTTTTATGCATCAAAGGAAATGCTGCAGTCAGTACAAGGTCAAAACCATTTGCTATTTTGGATAGGTTCAATTCATGCACTAGCAACCAGTGGATCATGTAGTAACCAGTTATGGTGCTGTTAGCATCCAAAATGTAGCTTCTATGCTTCATATTCATTTTCAAACAATGGAAGCTTGCACTATAAAACCATGAAACAAACTGTATTACCTGTTCTTCCTCCTCAATTGCACCACTTAACTCTGCTCCACGAAGCATCAATTTTAATTCGTCTTCAGTGACATATGGTTCACTGGAGTATGAAATGTTACAAAATAAATAAATAAATAAGAAAGTAAGAGGAAAAACAAAAACATAACTAAGTGCTCATGAGAGAGTAAAATTTATCTACACTCAATAAATTCACAGGGAAAACAAGAAAGGAAACAGAATTGGTAGGTTCTTTCAGGAATTCCTTGATTTTTATCAAATGTAATATTCTGAGCCAGAATATTTTCAAAACAATCCTCCTCTTTTTTTATGTTTTTGTCTGTGCACTTCCATTGATATGCTGGTTAATAAAGACAAATAATACTTCATTTCACCCCAGAAATATATTCAGTGCATCCTCCACAACTTGTAAATGTGTAAAAACAATGTATGAGGTGCATATGTTTGCAAACTCCATACAATTTTTAGTTTAGTATTTAAATGATAGATAGTTTGCCCATATAAAGAAACTTTTTACACCGAACATACATGTTTTAGAGGATTCAGACAGATGATGGGTACATGTAAATCAAATCTAAATAGAGCAGTTGAGTATTCATCTCAACTAAACCTTAACTCCAACCTAGTTGGGATTGGTAATATGGATTCTATCAGTCTATTCAGCTGTTCCCAGTGCCAGTTTGGGTATGCATATGCAGGGACTTGAACCCAGGTCTAATGCTTGGAAGGCAATTATCTTAGTTGTTGGACCATAAACAGAATAGTAAAGAATGCATGAAAAAATATACATGGCGTACAGAAAGTATCAAACTTTCATTTCCGATTGGCACACCTTCTTCCTTTCAAGCCAAGAAGTTTTAGCATCCCCATTGAGAGGTATGTGACAACTCTTCCCACAGGATACAGTATCAGTGAAAGCCATGCCACTGGCCTGACCTAAAGGCATTTTCAAGTCAGGCATTATCATCAAACATATCTGACCAATACTTTAGCTGGAAAACAAAGTCAGTCACTTCAGGGTGAAGGTCACATATGAACTTACCACAACCCTAGCAACCTCTGTGGCATTGTGAACAGCTATGCTTTTTGGAGTGATTTCAGTCAGAAGCAAAACTGCAACCTGATAGAGGAAAAGATTCCAGACTTGCAACCATAAAACTACCAAATGAGATATTCAACTGAGAAAAATGACGTACAGTCATGACTCCTGTTGCTGCACTGACACCAGCTTCACCAAAAGCTGCTGTTGCAGCCTCAGTAACTAATGCTGTAGCTCCAATATTCACAACTCTGTTTAAATAAATGAATTTCAATATGAGAAAACATTCTTTTTTGAAGTGGTGAAAGCAGAAAAATATATGGACAAGCTTCAGAAAGGGCAGTACGTTGTGCCTATAAGTATAGTTGTAAGAAATCGAGTAACATCACTCCTCAACATTTTAAAGACTCCATTTTCAGACTCTTTCTCGGCTAACTCCCTCACCTGATATGAAAAGAAGAAAAGATCAAAAGATAGCTGCATCAACTAATTATAGAAATGAATTAATATAAGAGCAAGAGATAAGCCTTACAGAGAGCCAAAAAAATGGACTAAGACACAATTCATATATCTAGTGCAGAAATCACACTATCTCACAATAAGGTAACAATAAAGAAGAAGCAACAGAAAAGCTTTAATTTTTACCAGAAATATATAAAATAACAAAGCATGTATGAGTGTGTGTGTGTGTGTAGCAATCCCACAAGTTATTTTCTAATCAATGGCAGCTCAAGATTCATATACTCCGAGATTTCAATACAGCAATAAGAAAGACATGAAATCAATTCCAAATTGCCAAAAAAAAAAAAAAGAGGTTGAATTAGCTACCTTCCATGGCCAAAGCGTAGTGATTGAAGTCTCAGCCATGGAGAAAAATGCCGAAAGCCCGAGAAGCAATGCCAACACCAAACCTTGCTCTTTAAAAACTCTAAGAACCGGCAAAACCTTTGGCCAAAAATTTCTCAAGGCCACAAGAGTTTGGTCCAAAGCCCCGTAGCGCGCACTGACAACCTCTTCAATAGCAAGCACTCTCCGACAGCCAAACACAAAAACCCCACAAACTAAAGCTACCAAAATCAAACCCCTCTTCAACAAAACCTCCACGAGCCCCACATTCACACTCGTTACGCCATCTTCAACATTTCGGCAAGCACAACCGCGACTTACCGATAGCGGGCTCAAACCGAGTCGACTCGGATGGAGCTCGGAGTTGAAGAAAATTCTAGAACCGTACGGTACGGAGTAACCCCCTCTGCCGGCGGATTTTGCAGCGCAGCACAGACTCCTGGCAGAGATACCGGCGGAAATCCCGAACCGACGGCTGCGAAGAACTCTGAATGCGGATCGATTCAAGAGATAGGGCTCAAGAGCCGCTACTGCTTCCATGTGGATTCGCAGAAACTATGCGTGAAATTAGAAAAACAAGTGGAAATTCAATCCAAAATTCCAAATAATATACGAGTAGATAGAGCGGGAAGGGTAGAGATTAGATCTTCTTGCGGAGCTTGAAGAGATGGAAACGTGCAGACGAAGAGCTCATCCTGCTCGGCCTCTACTGCGAGCTGCGTGGACGACTCAATTTCTTTGCTCGTGTGCTTCTGCCAAAAGCACAGGTTTCAACTTGCAGGTGTGAAATGACCGGAGTATCCCCCGCTTCTCTGTCTCTTTCTCTTCTTGACGTCGGGCTACATCTGACCTTCCACGCCTCTACCTAACCCTCTCCATCTTCTAGCAGTCGTTAAAGTAATACCCTTTTTTACGAATATGATTCTCGCAACAGTACAAACGAAATCATAATTTATCTTGTTTTAGTCTAAAGATGCCATCAGGCACTGGAATTTGTCTGGATATTTGGAAAATGAAATAAATAAAACATGTTTATTTGTACCATTTTAAAGAAAATTAAAAATTATTTTTGTTACTGAGAAAATAGTTATGATCAGATACTACATTGTAATAGAGTCAATAGCATTAAAAAAAAAAGTATTAAACCATTCAAAAATATATGTCGTAATAGTGTTTCGTTGGAGTTCACACCTTAACTACATCTACATCGACCTATTCACAGGCTAACACGTTATACTAGGACTCTCTCCCTAATTCTGTTGGATTCTTATGCAATAATCAATCATCAATTTGTTGCTTTAAAAAAAAAAAAGTAATATCAAGAGGAGTTTGGTTGTTAGGCTAGTTTTATTTTCTCCAACACAAAACATATACAGAGTATAATTTTCAACAAAAATAAAATAAAATCTTCTTTTACATATCTATATTCATGTGTAAAACCAAGATTGTCCACTACCATAGTTCTTTTCACAATTGGGCATAACTACACTGGAAATATGATTTGCAGGAAGCAAATATGTTTATTGCACCCTACATTATTTGACTTTGTTACACAATCCAAAGCTGAAAGCCTGAAACATTAACCAAACCTCCTACAATCTGATTGATGAATTCACGACAATTTTTCCAAACCAGAACTTGACCTCATGGTATATTCACCCACGAGCTTTGCGAATAACGACGATTTGTTATCCAGCAGATTTTCTGGAGTGTCATTTTCAGCAACAACCCCTGCATCAGAGAAAAAAAATGGTGTGAATTATCTACAGGTTTCATCGGAATCTGTCGTTCAAAGTGGAACACACAGTAGTACTAACCATTATCTAGGAGCAGAACCATGTCACTGTCTAGCACCGAGGTTATCCTATGTGCAATTGTTATGACAGTGGAATCTGAGAAGTGTTGCCTCAGAGTTTGCTGGATCAGATTGTCTGTCATGGTGTCCACAGACGCTGTAGCCTCGTCGAGAACCAGAATCTTGCTCTTCTTCAACAGCACTCGCCCGAGACACACCAGTTGCCTCTGACCCATGCTCCAATTCTCGCCATTTTCAGTAACTGTTTATGGAAATGTTCGGTTTCAGGACTGTCAATAAGAAAGTGTACAGATAGATAGCTATGAGGAATGACAAAAAACCTGCAGAATCAAGCCCAGCTTCCTTCTTACGAACTTCGCCTCCCAGCTGACACTTATCGAGAGCCTAAAGAGAAACACCATCCATCGATCAACTTACAAACGTTACGAACTAAAAAGAAGAAACAGAAATATGAAATGCCTACCTCCCAAATCTGTTCATCTGTATACTCTTCAAGTGGATCTAGATTTCCACGAATTGTCCCCTCAAACATGGTTGGATCTTGGGGAATTATGCTCAACCTAGCCCGCAAATCATGCAGTCCAATTGACGATATATTGATACCATCGATAAGAATTTGTCCGTCTGCTGGTTCAACAATGCGAAAGAGGGTCTGTATAAGTGTTGATTTACCACTGCCAGTCCTCCCAACTACTCCACTTTTCTTTCCTCCCAAAAACGTGCACGTGATGCCTCGTAAAACAAGGGGCAGCTGTGGAGCATATCGTACCTTTCAACCCATCCATAATCGTTAGAAAGAATACAAATACATGGAACGAGAAATTAACTATCAAATGAATATGGAGTTACCTTTAGATTGCTGATTTCAACTCTACCATTTGGTGGCCAACAAGCGTCGGGCCTGTTAGATTCAGTAACAAGAGGGGGCTCGCTAGACATAGAACTGTACTGAATTATTCTTTCAACTGATATAATACTATTCTCTACAATGCAAAAACTTAATGCAATCCAAATCAATTCTCCGTTCAAATTAAGCCCATATGTCACTGCTAAGACACCAAAATCTGCAAATTGTTGAAGGGGACAAATTATTAATATTGGATAAGCATATCTTCTTGCTGAAAAGAAAAAAAGAAGTAATATGATGAACACTCACTTGGGTCAATAGTTCCCACCGGAACAGATACCAAGAATATCAATGCAAAGGCAAAAGTGATTAGAGACAACATATTCAAGCGAAAGCATATCCACTGCATAGCACCAAACACATGAAACCTGAGCCGAGAATAATTATCTATCAGTTTCATATTTGTATCACAAAATCTGGACTCCTGGTCAAAACCACGAATCGTAGTTGATCCCGAGAGAGTTTCAGCAAAATGCTGTATGACTGGAGCCTTAGCAACTCCAGCTAATCGTGTCAATTCTCGAGCTGAAGGCAAGTATTGTTGCTGCAATCAAGAAATTTACAACAGCTTAAATATGATAAGATGCATATACATTAAATTTAGAAATAAAACCAACTTAATGTTGCATAAATCAGGTCTTTTCCATTATAAAAACAGACTTTAGCATAGAGCCTACCTGATAATAGATGCATATTGCAATCACAGGAATAAAGGAAGCAAAGACCTGCCATGAAACTAAAGACATTATGGCAACGATACCCAAAAGATCAATTATTGTGAAGGCAAATGATCCAATTTGAGAGGGAATGTCCAGATCAACAACACTTTGATCCGTAGATGCCTGTGATGACAAATACAACAATTAATCAAGCACTGTTTTGCTATCAAAAAATGATGATAAGAATGAATGATACAGATTTGTAAAAGAAAACAGAAGCAAATATGAATGTTCCCTTACTCTATTCAGAATACGCCCACTGGGTGTGGCATCAAAGAAAGACATTGGAGCACGGAAAATGCACAAATGCATTTTGTGAAAAAGTAGTGTGGCTGTTTCGAATCCAGCGGTCATAAGCAGCAAGGCTCTGGGAAGGATGCAGAAGGAACTTCCAATTGCAAAAGCAACATAAACAAGAAGGAGAGTAGAGCTTCCAACTGGTGGTGTCTCACCTTCTGACACCGGAGTAGCCCAAGTCATCCAATAATTGCTTCCAATTTGAAGTGTTTGGAAGATTATTTGTGCCAATAATATAAAGGGCACAAGAAAACCTCCAAACGCCATAGTAATATATTGCCAGTAAACCAGGAACCCAACTCTACCTTTCTCTCTTTCTTCCTCTTGGACAAGTTGGCCCTTTGGTCTTGCAGAGCTATCAATTTTACCATCTGTAGCTTCTTCATTTATAGCATCATTAATGGTCAACATGCCACCGCTCTCGTTTCTTACTGTTACTACTCTTTCCTCAAAGGAATCTATTGCTGATATTGCTTCGTTGTGAGCACCCACAAGCTCCATAAACTCACTTTCCAATTTGAGGATGCTGTTGTACTTTCCAGCTTGTGAAATCCTTCCGTCTTTCATAACCTGATTTAATGAGTTAAAATCTTTATACCTTGAATAGGTAAGAACAGAAGATAATAAATTAACAAACAAACATTGGTAACTTACCAAGATCAGATCTGCGGCAGGTAAGAACTCTACTTGATGTGTAACATAAATAACTGTTTTTGAATCCAGAAGTCTAAGTATACATTCCTATCAAGAGAAGATCATTTGTGGATAGCTTTAGTTTCAGAGAAGAAATTTGCCAGAAGTGGATAGATTTATATGAAAAAATAAAACAAAAAACAAAATTGAGAATTTAATGATAAAAATATAACATGTGATAAGTTTCTTACATTGAAGAGATGGGTTCCGGTATGAGCATCGACTGCACTAAATGGATCATCAAAGAGATAAATGTCAGCATCTTGGTATAAAGCACGAGCAATTTGTACTCTTTGCTTCTGTCCACCACTCAAATTGATTCCTCGTTCTCCGATGACTGTTTGATCACCAAAAGGGAGAACTTCCAAGTCTTTCTTTAAGGAACATGCTTCAAGAACTCTATCATACTTCTCGCTCTCCATTTTCATACCAAACAATATATTTTCTTCTATGGTCCCACTCTGTATCCAGGGTGACTGTGGAACATAGGCTTTAATTCCACACAGCTTAACACTTCCTGAAATTTTGGGCATTTCTCCCAAAATGCAAGATAATAGACTTGACTTTCCTGAAGCAACAGTACCACAAATGGCAACTTTCATGCCATGATACACTCTTACATTGATGTCTTTTAGAAGTGGAGCAGAAGAGGTTTCATTCCAACAGAAATTTCCTTCTACAATGTCAATGGCAACATCAGAACTACATCTAGGAAGCTTCTCAATAGCACTAGGTTGCAGGTCATCTAGTGAAAGGAATGATGCGATTCGATCAAGAGAAACTTTAATCTGAGCTATCATTGAAATTGCATCTGGAATTCTGTAAATAGGCACCTTCAGTGTAGAAAATGTGGCAAGCGAAGAAAGTACTTTTCCTGATTCAAGTGGAACCCCCATAAGCACAGCAGCACCAAATGTAGCGACAGACACAAATGAAGGGGCAACCCAATTGACAAAAGTAGTCAAAGCCGAGGTGTATCCATATTTTCTTAACCATCCTACCTCAGTATTTCTGATCCCAAGGATTTTGGATAGAAATTTCATCTCCCAAGCTTGAAGTTTAAGTATTCTCATGTTCCTTAAAACCTCAGAGGTTGCCTTCATGCGACTATCTTTGGATTTCATAAGTTTTTTCTGGTATCTCTCCTGTAATTTTGCTAAAGGGAAGTTTGCTAGCATCACTATAACAGTAGAAAGGAGTGCTACAATTGAAGCACCCCCGAGGTTTTTGTAGAGAATAACCAATGCAAGGCCAACTTGAACAAGTATAATCCACGGATCATGGATGTACCAAGTAAATTCAGCTATCCTCTCAGCATCTACAGTCATAAAATTGATGATCTCTCCACTTGTATGGCTCTGTCTTGAGTGGCATGAGAGTGTCAAACCCTTGTTATAGACTTTGGCAACCAGTGCAGCCCTTACCCTGAACCCAGCCTGCCGTGCTTTGAAAAAATACTGTGTCTCTGCC